ACGCCGCTACCACTTGAGCTCTCGTGATCTCGATCCACTCGGACACCAACCTCCCATCTCAATCACACCTTTTGAATTTTTGCCATTTTTCGCTCGTGCCATTGACTTTTTTATCTCCACTGAAAACCTTAATTAATTGTAATGTATTAATTGGTCAAGCGGACCACGAAACTAGTGCATTCTTTTTAAACTATTCAGTTTGTTTCAAATACAATATAACAAAAAAGACAGTATGTACAAGAACAAAAATTACATCGGATTATCACAGCATATATCGCAAACTAAACATACAATAGATTTTAGCAATGTGAAAAAAATTCCATTAGATTGACATGCACAAAAATTAGATAAACATACACTCAAAGACGAAAAACGGTCACTCGTATTTTGTTGATTATTTAAAAATACATATATTTTTATCGCTATTAATTACAACATACTTATTTAAAAGTAAACCAAAACGAGATGGAAAGTTCACGAGTTTTTAATAAAAATTATTTAATTATGATAGTTCGAAAGAAAATTGACCAAAACACAAAATAATTTACTGATAGATTAAAAGTTAACTAACAATGTATTACCTAGTTACGCTCTTAATAACGCGTATTACCTCTCCTTGTCTCGAGAAGGGCTTTAAGTTAAGTCTCCTAGGCATTAAGTAAATAAGTGATGAAGGTGAAACAGAGTCCCATTTTTTTAACAAGAGCAGTTTGAAGCGGTTCAACGCTTGTTGGAGGCGGCGAACAATGTCTAACCCTTTTCTTTATCATATACCATAAGAGTTCTATGGGATTCGTGTCAGTAGAAAGAACGTGCTGGCCGTAATCCCTACACCCTCCAAGTAATGACAATTTGAACTTCATGAGGTAGAGCATTGCCATACATTAACAAGGAATTGTCCCCAATAAATGGGACCACAGCTTTCAGACAAACTTCCTCAGTGCGAGTGCAGACAAAATTCTGCATGTATCTGCACTTACCACTTTGGTAAAGGTATTGACGTTGATTCGTACTCATACGGTCACTGACTGTCTATAAAAAGGCTGTGACTTATTTATGGCACATGTAGCAAAAAATCATCCACGTGGGGAGGTATCGGTCATCTGATTGCCACAAGCCAAACCGGTGAAGAGAACTGCCCTCCTCCTCATTTTTAAGGGTCTAAGCGAGATGATTTTATTTACAAGGGTTCGCAACGCAAAGGTCGTGTCAACATTCAAAGTGTCGGTGTTTTTGAAAAACTGATGTTGTATTGGATCTTCTTGAGGTCATTTTACAATAAATTTAATTTTCCTAACAACTGGGTTAAGTACGTAATTGTATTTTGTAATGTATTTATATAAGATGTGTTATGTAACTCTGTCCATGTAAATTTTGTTTTTAATAAATTAGGCCCTGAAGATGGCGGAACATTCGCCGAAAGCTTGGTGGAAAACCCCCCCCCAAAAAAAAAAGCTGTAAAATGACCTCAAGAAGATCCAATACAACATCAGTTTAAACTATGTAGGTCGATCAACGTCAACTAGAATTTTTGAAAAAAAAATCCCATTTATAACTATACGGGGTTCGAATGCAGGGCCGCTGGATTAAAACCAGGGACTTTTACTTTACAATGATGAGCGCCGTGTCAATGCCTTAACCGTTGCGGCCACCGACGCCCCAAGCGAGATGATAATTTGTGAATAGTCGCCGACTCCTCTCCAATAGTAGAAAACCTGATGCGGGACGTTTGGAAGCTGTTTTATACCTCATCCTTACATTACTGACCGTTTGGATAAAACGTACATCGTGGTCGACCACAAACTTCTCTTCGATCGAGACTTCCGAGGTCCTAAACCGCTGTGGACGGTAGAGGATGGCAAGTCCATGTCCTGGACTATGTAACGGACATTACTCCCTTAGGGGCCAATGTATCTCTACATAAATGCTTTTAAGAAGAAAAAATTAATTATTAATATTTTAATAAAACGTATTGTTATCTCAAAGAAAACAATTTAAAAATCCAATTAATTCACTGGACAAATTGGCTTTGGAAAAGATGAAATTGAACTGATTTTCATTATTTTTAATCTAAAGAGCTTAAAAGGGTTAGTAAACCTATATAAAGGTAAACAACAAGTGATTAATGTTGCGTTCATGATTTAAGTCAACCGTTCATCTGTATATTTAGTAAATCCATTATATTTATTGCCTCATTAACAAAATTACTTCTTTCGTTTAATTAACATTTTTATGTAAGGCTTTGGGTGAAATGAAAAAGCTAGTGTCACGAGAGGGATTCGAACCCACAACCTTCGGCTAAATACGCCGCTGCTCGACCACATGAGCTATCGCGACTTCGATCCACTCGGACACGAACTCACCATCTCAACCTACATATTTAGTTATGGAAAATAAATAAATACGTATAATAAATAAGTTCCGAATTTTTTTTCTTAAAGTGTATAAAAAATATATGCAATTTAAATTACACTTGTGTTGTAACTAGTATTTATTTTATTCTGGGTTATTATTTATTTTAAATAAGTTTTAAAGCGTAGATGTATTATTCGGAGATCGTGATATGCGGTCTGGTGTGGCGTACGTTTTAGAAAAGCGTTTTCTTTATCGTACCAACGTTTCGATCTTTATTGAGATCATCTTCAGGGCCTTGTGTTGTCTGCATTTCAACAAAAACGTTCTCTGATTAATAGCCGTTGCGAGTTTCTTCTCATTGATGTCGATGTCCTTCAGAATACTTTTTGCTTGGTGTCCATAGGTAGTTGAAATTTGTTCATAGAATCCCATGTTCTCCGTTCTTCTCGTGTAGAAATGTGTGGTGCTTAGTGACCGTTGCTCAATGATTATTCGTAGATGTATGTTGAGATATTGTAATTCTATTTGTTGGAAATGTATATGCGTCAATATGTATTATGGATGCATAAGAAGTAGCCGATGCGCATGGAGAAAACTATGCAGAAATATCAAGTGATCGGTCCTGTACAGATGAATATAAGGCGTCCAAGGACAGAATAGACTGTTGGGTATGACCTGGACGGCGGCACTACGGAAAATATCAAGCCGGACTTGACAATGACCGAATTGACAGCCCTCCGGACATCCAAAGATGGTCAGAGTCCGGTATTCCGAATGCTCTATTACGGGTCCTGTCCGAGGTCGGGAAAAAGTTTTGCGTGGTTTTAAGTAATTTATATATTTTTTTTATTTTTTTACGAGGGTTCGCAACAGCAGAGGTCATATAAACCCTCAGGGTGCCGGTGTTTTTGAAAAAAGCTCATTTGCAAGTATATCCAGCGGCTCTGCATTTGAACCCGGGACCTTTACCTTACGGGGACGAGCGCCGTGTCAACGCCTAAACCGTTGCGGCCACCGTCGCCCTTTTGCGCAATTGTAACGCAAAATTGAGCGGGATCAGCATTAGCAGCAACACCTGGCCGATTGAGCAACTGCAGACTTTTATAATAAATATAACCTATAAAAACCCTGTACGAAAACAAGAAAATCGATGGGTTTCACAACTATCTTATAACGACTTGTTCTGTTGTTTGGGTATAAGCAATTCCTAGCTTTTTTTAGAAGAAGAAATATAACATTTTTGGCATTTTATAATAAATCGAGAATGAAGACAGAATGACATGTTTCCATTCCATCCTGTAAAAGTCTGTAGTTGCTCAAGCGGCCAGGTGTTGCTGCTGATGCTGATCACGTTCAATTTTGCGTTACAATTGCGCAAAACGAAATATCAGATCTAGCCGACCTAGTTTTGGGCACAATTAAAGATGATTGATGGATCTATCTTTCGAATATCTTTGAACTTTTGTCATCTTACTGCGGTCACGATAATGTAAACGTTAAACATGGCGAATGCAGCAATAATATAAAATCTAATGAATTCCTTGAGGCTTAAAACAATATTTAACTATATGACTAATTCTCACAAACCAATAAGATTAAACACAGAAGTGAATAGTAAAATATGATGATGCGTCGTAAATCAGTCAATATAAGAACGTAACAGAGTACATACTTTGTCTAATACATATGCAAAGGATATTTGAATTAAAACCTTGCAAGGCTAGTATTCGGCTTATTTACATATGGAAAAGTTGAATATTATTAACACTGAAAAGCCCACTCGATCACGAGGTCATATATTATTAACAAATCACCATTAGCAAGAGGATGTTTTTACAAATCTCTAAATCCTCAGTCGTGTTTTTTTAATATTCATCATCTTTTGACAGCCAAGATTGTAGGAATATATATATATTACTTTGCCGGCCAGGAGTAGGAATATTAAATTTTTGCGCGATGCTATGGGTTAGTGATTTATTGTTTGATTAAAGTAAAGGTTCGGCTAGGAAGTTTAAAGCATTTTTATCCGCAGTTCGATTGTCCCCATAATTTTAATACATTATAATTTTGTCAATAATCTGTTCTATCTATCTCTATCTGTTCCAATATCGCAATATGGAACATTATGCAACAGGGGAAACACCTGCGAGTATGCTATTGTAAGCCGGTCCCCGCCTTAGGGATAAGTTTTAGCTGTTAAAGTAAGAAAAAATTAGGGTAAACGATGATAGGGAACAAAGGTTGTGAATCTGAAAGGGCGATCATCCAGACGGGAACGACGTGACGTCCTCCTCAAATCTGACAAACATAACATTGAAATAATTACATCGTTGGATAGATAGATAAGAACATCGAAGGGTGTCGCAGACCCAGACTGGAACCACGTCATGTTTCCCACGAACCTGGAGAATATAAAGTTGCAATAGTTGGACAACCGATCAAATAAATAACTATCGTCTAGTTATTTAGTGCTGAAGGGTTGTCACACGGTCAAAAATATGTAGCGACGAGGGACATCGTAAATTGGGGTCGCGTCAAACATGTGCGTCATACGTATTCGCCGATTCACCCGCGCCTTGGGAACTCCTCGACATTTGATTTTCCTTTCCACCCCTACTCCAGTAGAGAAACTGGTATAAAAAGGGATGACTGGGAAATCAAAGTCAGTCAAAAACAAGAGACTCACCCCAGTCAGTCAAAAACCAGAGACTCACCCCAGTCAGTCAAAAACCAGAGACTTACCCCTGTCAGTCAAAACCGGAGACTCACCCCAGGCAGTCAAAACCGGACACTCACCCCGGGCAGTCAAAACGGAGACTCACCCCAGGCAGTCAAAACCGGAGACTCACCCCAGGCAGTCAAAACCGGACACTCACCCCAGGCAGTCAAAACCGGACACTCACCTCAGGCAGTCAAAACCGGAGACTCACCCCAGGCAGTCAAAACCGGAGACTCACCCCAGGCAGTCAAAACCGGACACTCACCCCAGGCGGTCAAAAGCGGAGACTCAACCTCAGGGAGTGAGTGAACAGTCAACTCCAAGAGACGATCCGGAACAGAAGCAATCGCACTCCGTCTAGGACTCAACAAGGGAACTCAGCCAGCAAGAGCAAGCGAGGACCAGCCGTTGCCATCCATCGAACCAAGTCGACTGTCGAGAGAACAGAAGGAGTTGGGGATACTGTGGTCACTAATCGTGAATGAAGAAAACACCGAGGGTGCTACGCCCAAGAGAGAAGTTAAAACCAGCAATGCGGTATTGTCCCTCGAGTGAGTGAAAGTGAGTGAAGTGTGGATATATATATATATAGACACAGATATTATGGACATATCGATTATTGACCAAATAAATTCTTTTCAATTAATTAATCTTTAACTCAACCAATACCTTACATAAAGATAAATTAATTGAAAACAATTTATTTAGTCAATCAGACCACGAAACCTAATTGATTTAATAAGTAAAATGAAGTATTCTTCACTAAAACTCTCCGTGGCCTTTTCATTTGTCGCCGAGAATCAAATAGATTACACGACATTTGAAAAATGTCAAAAAGGAGGGAAAATTCAAAAAGGTGGGGTTGAGATGGGAAGTTGGTGTCCGAGTGGATCGAAGTGACGATAGATCAAGTGGTAGAGCAGAGGCGTATTTAGCTGAAGATCGTGGGTTCGAATCCCTCTCGTGACAGTGATTTTTGTATCTCAACCATTACCTTACTTAAAGATTAATTAATTGAAAGAAATGATAGACAAAATTGATTATTAGGGGGAGATGTGGTATATTGTAACATAAACTGTAACCAACTGTGTAAATATTAAATTAAAATGAAAGAAGAGAATTATAAGCGGTGAAAAAGAAGAGAAAAGGATAAACGGAAATAAGGTTAACGCACGTTAGCTTCCGATATCTAATATATCTAATGCATAGATGAGGTTCAAGTATACTGCCCTGTGGCACTCCTGCTCCCAGAGAGGACTACTCTCATCCTTGACGAACTCAGAAGAATCGTTCCGTTCGGTATGAACAAAGGATTAGGTACAAGGTTATTCTCGTGGGTTCACAACAGCAGAGGTCGGAAAAAAGCCCATTTGTAAGCATTTCGGCGGTACAAGGTGGAAGGGCACCATTGAGTAGAGGATTAATTTTGCTTCCTAGAAGAACTAAGGAAAAATATGACTTATTTATGATGAAAATGTGCTTTGGGTGTTACAGTCTTTGAGGATGGAGGTCTACATAAGGACAGAAGCTCCCACTGTGAAATCAGGAAAATAAATTTTAAATTTAACAACGACTAATTTTTTTTTTAAATGGTCTTCTTCAATTCTTTCGAGCTGGTATTCAGATTCATTGTAGAATGCGAGTCGCACATTGTGATTTTGCTTAAAATAAGGTTGAACATTTGTCAAAACATTGACGGAGCAATTTCAAGATCCAAACCAGGCGGGTTTTAAAAGTTGTTCCTAATCATGTGCGTCAAGTTACTCAGAACCATTAACTGATGTTCCTTTGTCGTCTGAAACAAGTTGGCCCAGAGCGGAAAGGGGAAAAAGTTCTTTTTAATCAAACTTTACGACAGTTAAACATATATTGCTCTTTACAACTTTCGCCGAGCTTCTCTATTGTTTCAAACTAACTCGGCCCCTTTGCTGGAGCACGGCTCCCTTTTAAATTTGAATTTTTAAAAAAGCGTACCGTGTTTTCTTTAGGCGGACAAAAGTAATTCGAGCGACCCACTCACTCCCCTTTGGGGTTTTCATACAAGGAATAATCAAGTTTTAGCTAGAAACGTGCCCGGAATCTTCTCAGTACTATTTATAAGAGAAATATTAGAACGTATAGGGAGGCTTACTGCCTCCCCTCATTACCATCGGTTATACTCGCCCATTTCTCATTTTTACGAACAGGTACATTTATCCAATCCCCCCACCTCGAAAATAGTAAAAGCAGTAATAATTTTCTTTTTCAGATTTGTAGTTCGCATTTACACTTTGAACACACGAGATAGGGACTTAAAATCATTTTTTAACCTCGCGACCGACGATAACGCTTTGAAACTTTTTTCGGTGATGCATAATTTTTGGCGGAAAACCTGGTAAAAGCCGATGATAAAGTAAACCGAGACTGCTCGGCTATGAAAACCGCCGGTCGTTGTCATTCCATGTCCAAATGTTTTACTAGGACAAAATAGTCAAACAACGACTTTTCAGAAACGTGATTCCTCAAGCTTCCTTTCAGCTTATTAAATTTACAGAGCCCTTCCGTAAAGATTAATGAGCATTTTTCTTTGAGAACATTGGACGATAACAGAATAATTCTATTATTTGTTTATTACCTTGAAAGCATGGAACAGTTATATTCAATTTATTAACTGAACAGAGGCCATGTTTCAATTTTCGATGTAGACCCGAGACAAAAATTCAACGTTTTCATAAACTACACTGATGGACAAAATTACTCATCACTCTTAATTTTAAGTTTTCACATATTTTGCATACTAAAAATAGGTTTGGTTGTAAAACTAAAACATTTAAAAGAAAATGTTTATTACCTAAAAAGCAATATTGAGTAAAGAAAAAAACTGAAATTTTAAAAACAAATAAACATGTAAGAAATAACTTTTGTCATTTAAAACCGAGTAATTTCCGCCTCTGGCACGAATCACGTCCGTTAAACGCGATTGCATTCCTTGGTAAAAGCCTGAGGAATTCATTCCCTTTAATCAAGAACAGCTGTTTCCAAATTTTCTAGAGTGTTAGGACCTGGGTTTTGCCTCCTCGCTTATGTTGGTCCCAAATGTGTTCTATTGGGTTCAAATGTGGACTTCGAGATGGTCCCACTAAGCACTCAATTCCAAAATAATTCAGGCAGTCATCCACAATACGCCAATGGCACTACACGATCTTCGATTATGCCCTGTAAGTATCTCTGTGAAGTTAGAGATCTACAACAACCAATGCGGCATTCAAGGAAATGCTACCGCAGAACATCAGTGACCCACCTAGGATGTCCACCTGAGGAACCACCGTGACTTTCTCCTGAGCGTCCTATGTGACACTACTCTCATCTGAAGATTTGAGAACAACTCTCACTTCATTTGCAAAGAGAACTCGTCACCAATCTTCAAATGTCCAATTCAGACGTTCCTGGGCGAATTGAAGACCGGTCATTTTCTGAGCTGTGGAAAGAAGAGGTCCACGGGTTGTTAGCCGGGCCCTGAGGTTATTTTCACTGAGACTTCTGATAAAATCCTGAGAGTACCCATTCATCAAGAACAGCCGTTTCCAACTCTTGTAGGGTGTTAGGACCTTGGTGTTGACGTACACGTCCCAACTGTAAAAAAATCTTTACCTCAAGCTGGCCACACCAAGCACTCAATTCCAACCTCATTCAGATAGTCATCCGCTATACATGGATCTATCATGCATTAACATCTCTCACCGATGTTGGGGGCAAATGGCATTACATCTTCTTCGATTATTGTAAGTATCTAACTGAAGTTAGAAATCTTTCTCCCATAACAGCCAATTCAGTGCAGCCATCCGAGGAAATGCCACCCTAGAAGATCAATGACCAACCTAGGAAATCCACCTGAGAGATCATACAGCTTGGGGCGTACCTTTCTCCTGAGTGTCTCCATTTAAAATTTCGCCCATCTGAAGATACGCTCAACTCTCACCTCACGTAAAGAGAACTCGTCCCCAAATGCATTGCAATGTTAAATTCACAAGTTCCCGTGCGAATTTAAGCCTGGCCATTTTCTGAGCTGTAGTAAGAAGAGGTCCACGAGCCGGGTATCGTATCAGATTTTTTATCTCATTTCCCGTAATACTGCCGTTTCGTACAGCCTGATGACAGATGAATTTATCGTCTCTCTGGTTTTTTGTTTTACCCATCCACCACCCCGCCGTACCCCTGAACGCAATTTGTCCATTGGTTCACTGGTGGAGTAGACGCTAGGTCTTGCAGCGCTTATGAGAGAACAGTTTTATAAGCTTTTGTTGTTCTTAAAAGCGCTATCCGTTGTCCTTGTTCCAAAGCTGTTCCATTTTTGCTGATAAGCCGTTATCCCCAAGATGAAACTCCGGACAGTGCTGCTTGTGTGTACACACTCTTATATACTGTAGAAAGGGCTTTTGGATCGTCTCTCAGGTCTGTAGACCTAGGTCGACCCTATGCCCTTCGCGCTGGTAGTATCCTTCCTCTACTGATGGTATATGACTTTGACACTGCAATACTATCTCAAATTGCAAATTTCTCTCTAAAAAAAAAGTTTCAGTGTAAGAAGAATATCAAATGAACTCAACAAAGGAAAAAGATTAAGTGAAAGCGATCTTTAGACATATCAGACTGGAAGGACATAATACTACGTTTTTGTGCAAATTAGTACAAAATTAAACAAAGGAAGTAAACAAAGAATTATTTACTGTTTATTTTGACTAGGATAGCTTCTAATTAACTGTAAGTAATGCGGAAAGATAATTGATTTAATTTTAAACTGAATAAATTGAGTGGTGCGTTAAATGTCCATCATTGCATTTTACATTTTCTTAGTTCGAAGGTAAAAGTGTAAACTATAAGCGTGTCAGGTATCAATTTAGAATTGTTTCTTATTATCTACGGTATATTATCCGGTTTATTTTAGTTGTTTATATGCATTACTCGGCAAACGTGGTAGTTTGTTTAAGTATGAACCAAATCCAACGCTGAAGATGGGGAAAGGATCGTTTCTTACTCTTACATAACTCAACTGGTGCATCGTGTTGCTCACCCCTTGACCAAAGCTGCATTGGTGTGGGTATCTTTTTTGATTGAGAAAGGCCTTCGATCGAATCTGGCACTCAGGATTGTTTTGGAAACTGAAGAACATCTTCCCACACGTGTGTATCCCATACTGAAATAACCGATCACGAACTGATTTCGCAGATCTGAATTGTCCCATATGTACGCCTTAGGGTAAGTGTTCCTCAGGTAAGCTTTTTTAACACATTTCTTTTTCCAATATACTATAAGTTAACATTTCTACAAATACCTTCCCTGATGATCCAGCGATTGTTATATTAACTTGGACCCCTCTATGAA